TCAAATCCCGCCAAACGCCTTGAGTTTTTCACACTTGGGTCAACTCAAATTACGATCTACCTGTTAGGTGACATTACTGGTGAATGAAAGTGTAGCGACCCCTTATTCTCAGTCATGCTTTCCTCGGACGCCGCGGGGACAAGGTCACTCCCTGTCTAGCTTTCTCAAGGCGGTCTGGTCTCACTAGCCAATCACTTTTCAAGGGCGAGGCCAGCGCAAAAACTGCGAGGGATTTGTTTACCCTCATTCACTTCCAGAGCCGACGACTCACTGTTCGGTTGTAGCTGTCCGGACTCCGGTGATCTACTTGCCGGACTGTGCCTCTGGACTCCGGCCCACTCATGGCTGGACTACACTTGTCTGGGAGTCACTTGTATGTTACTCATATTCTACTCCTTCTAACCTTAGTAAATCATTCATAACAATCTGGCCTTCCACGCCTTATTCTATTCAACTAGCTTATACATATTGGGATAAGTTCTATCGCCTATTATCTGGCCGGACCACATCGTATCCCACAAAAGCATTCGCACATTAGCAGAGGGGGAGTAGGGCATGGGAGAAAATAGCAACTTACCACTGGTTGCCCGGATTTGCACGGAAATGGATGCGGAAGCAGAGAAAGGCATGTCCTTCTTGTCAGTAGTGTGTACAGTGATAGTGTAAACGGAGGATGGATTCGGGTTTGTCAGTAGGTATTCTGTCTTCGTTACCGTAACCTGAGCGCGATAGGTTGCATTGCAGACGATGACCAGGTACTGGTCCCCACACTTACTTGTATCAACTGGAGGCAACCAGGTCACACGGATGTTTTTGGAATCCACAACCGACGCAGTCAGGTTTCTTGGCACCGGCATGTCTGCAGACAGAGTAAATATATGATGTTAGTTCGATGAGGCACCAAGACCTTCGTGAGGACAAGCAGGCTAGTATTTCAGTATGATTCTGTGTATTCCCCACTGAACCATTCCATCCACGCGCAAGTTACCCTCAGAACTTAAATGTGGATTACTTGCAGGCTCAGCGACTGCTCAATTTCTGCGAATTTGATTGTTCTATTATTAAAATAGTCACCCTTTAGGAGGAATCCGACGGCCATTTCGTGTAAATCTTCATATTTTTAAAGAGTTATTGCCGGTTTACTAAAGGCAGAACTTTGAGCCAGAGCATTCTTGTCAAGATTCCAGGCGTATCTATATGCCGCGGGTGTACGGGTGCACTAACTCGCAATTGTCAAGATTTATGACAATCGTATGGGCTCGATTTGCTCTACCGCAGTGCACCGTTCAGGAGGTGGTCATGTGCAGCTTTGATAGGCGACTGTTTTGTTCCCCCTGCCGCCACCTTGATGTTATTTGCGTACCAAATAGGCAGTTTTGAGAAAGTTGCGAGATGGCATTCTAACGTGCAAGAAGTCGAAATAAAGCACGTATACTAATAGGTGGATCGCGTGCTAACGGTTAACCAACGCTGCCTGTAGAGTGAAAAAAATTCGTCAATTAGGAAATATGGATTACTGTGCGTGTGTATGTGATAATGTGAACTTACCACTGACTGTCATTTTAACGGTAATGGAGGCTGAAGCGGGGAGAGGAGTGCCATTCGTATCAGTAGCATGGACGGTGAAATTGTAAACTGAAATGGGATTAATGTTGGGTAGTATGAATTCCGGCTTCGTCACCGTAACCTTGTCCTGATAAGTTGCATTGCGGACGATGACCTCGTACTGGTTTCGGCATTGACTTGTATCCTTTGGAGGCAACCAAGTGACGCGAATGGTTGAGGTATTCACAATCGAAGCCTTCAAGTCCCTTGGCACAGGCACGTCTATAGAAAAAAGTTGAATAAGTCATCAACTTTTGACAACCAGCCGTTAGCTTTTGTTATTTATTTAAATGTGTGTATTGCATCATTGGAGAATGCTGATTAGCGGCCATTCCGGAGGCTTTTGTATGGACGTCTGTCTGTTATCATGGGCTGAGGTCAGGAGTTGGTGAACACGAATGAGGATCGCACACAGCTCTATTTCACACCACTTGGTCTATTACTCTACGCATATAAATCGAACCAGTCAGCGTTTAGGGAGACAAACACGGTGAAGTCGGTTTGCCCGGACTGTTAATAATGTGAGGTAAACTATTTAAACCAGAATTGGCTTAACCGCATTCGGAAGTACAATAACGCATGGTTTTGCCAGCAGTGGCTTTAATGAACTCCTCGGAGACTCTTTGTAAACAGCGAGTTGTCGTTTGAAAAATGTCTTACTTCCACTAAAAGCAATGCAAGTTAGCAGGGTCGCCTCTCAGACAAAAATGCCTCGAACGCGAAGAGGTGCACAGTAGTGTTAATTGCAACGTACCACAGGCTGGTATTTGAGCGGTAATGATTGCTTTAGCGGGGAAAGGTTTGCCACTTTTCTCAAGAGCCTGGAGAGTGAAATTGTAAATGGAAGAGGGCTGCAGGCTGGTTATTGTTTCCTCTGTCGTCTGCAGCTTATAACTCTTGGTGAAGGTCTGATTGAAGACGGTGAGCAGATACTGCTGTGCCCACGGCTCCGAGATATTCGGTGTCTTCCAGGCCAGATGGATAGTTTTGCAATTCAGAACCGACGCTGTGAAATCTCTTGGTACCGGCAGTTCTGCTGAGAAGGGTAAATAAACCGTTATTGTCAATCAGAAGAAAAAGTCGAGCTCCTGTTGACATCGTCAAAGAGAACAAATAGCGCAGCCAAAAGGATAAGATGTACTACGGGAATGCAGAAGCACAAAAAACTGGCTAAAAGAGCTACGGTAAAATAATAAGCTAAACGCGAGTTCAATAAAGTGGGCTTTTTAATAGTCACATACAATAGAAATCATCATCACAATCTGGATATACCTCTATCACCCACTCCCCAAAAAACTCATAATCAGGCAACATCAAGTCCATCTGGTAAAGATGCAGCCCCTAAACACGCTCAAACTCCAAAGCTTCGTGCCGGTGTTTGCCGACCTGATCAAACGCGTTAGCCGTTGATTGGGGATCTGAAGTCAACCATATCTTACGAATTACGACCTTACTATACGAATCGGCTTGTCTGCATTCAATTCCGCTGAAGTTTCAGTCGGGCGAAACTGCCAACGTCCTGAGAAAGCCAATGACTTAATCCACACTGTGATCCACGCACGCATTTTGGGCATCAGCAATAGGCTGCTCGGTAAACGTATTATCATCAGACACATATATTTCCCGCATTCTCTGGTTACGGGGCACCAATGGCAAGACAAAGCGAAGACGTTCGGAGTCGGACAGGGTCGAACTGATTAACATTCAACCGCTAGGCTCCTGCCGATAAAATGAACAAAGAGTCATTTCCGAGGTCAATTTGTTAAAGGTCTGCCGAGATTTTGGAATAGGTTTAGAATAAAGTACGATTTTCTAAGAAGGCTATTAAAATGGTATTCGTACACTACTACATCATATGCCTAACACTAAGATACGGACAGGTAAAGATCAATTAACAATTACCAGCAGTGGGTTTTTGCATGGTAGGCATTTCAGTAGAAGGCTTAATCGGTGCAGGCTCTCCTGGAGTGGGCATTCCCGTAGATGGCTTTCCTGGAGCTGGCATTCCCGTAGATGGCTTTCCTGGAGTTGGTATTCCCGTAGATGGCTTTACTGGAATGGGCCTTTCCGTAGAAGGAACTGGGACAAAATAAAA